AGATACCTAGCAGATCAAATGGACGATTTTCTGTCCTAATGTTAAAAAATCAATTTCAGAGATAATAACTCGTGCAATTAATGCTTTTTTTTTTTGGAATTTGGTCTCTTTACGACGACTTTTGCAGGACAAATGGAATATTTCGATGCCTTCAAATTATTCCTTTGGAAAATGTGAATATGGGAGAGCATTTACCGATTTTGTGAGTTTACACACTAATAGAACAAAGTTACACAACCAAAGCGAATTCGTTCTTTGAGATGTGCAGAATGCGACGTAATGGCATCGGCATCAAGTCGAAAGCATGAGCTTCCGAATTGCCAGAGGGACAATAACAGGTGCTAAACCAAAATACCTTTTTTGGACCACTTTATGGCTTTAATTTTCTTTTACTCGTAGCCAATTTAAAAGTCCCTGAGATGTCTTTATGGATAAGTGGGATTCTAGGCACTACCTAAAACCCCGCTAGTCGCCTAAGTATAACTTTGCCATAACTTGGCTCTAGTTCCCCGTAATCTGTAGAGCCTTATGCTAATCTTTACAAAAAGCAGTCAAAATCAGCCTTTCAACCTCCAGATATTCTCAGAAACTTAACACAAATTTTGCGTTTACTATTGTGAAGTACTTCATGTGTAGCTTTGAAAATATCATAAAGCATGGGAATTATGCCACAGGCAGCCTAACACAATTAGTACCTGAGCCTTATCCTCCTTCAAAGCATCCACTTTGGCATTTGTATTAAAGCAGATAATGCTGCAGCCTACTTTATCCTCCTTCTGCACCTCACCGCATTAAAGATCAACTGAGACACTGCTTAACGAAGTTGCTGCCCTGTATTTAAACAACTTCCCACGTTGCAAAATTTTGTTAAACATAAAAACAAGTTTTGCTACCTTCAGTCTACTTTTATTTAAATATAGCATCCTAGTTGCTTGTTTTGATGTTTCAATGCTCATTTTTCCATCCTTATCGCATTGTTCGTTTGTGCTTTGTGCGCGACCAAAAATGTTACTTCAGACTGCCTTTAACGCTTTCGCACTTAATGTCTGCTATGCCGTATTCACGCGAAGGGTCTCGTATCGCAACACCCGTAGTGCTACCATCGCCTACGAATCCTGAAATAGGGCTTTGCCGACGGTTCGGCTTGTGCTGCAGCAGCGTTTTTCTCACCATTACTCTGCTGCCTTCCGTTGGTTGCTTTGTTGCCCGTGGAATTATCGTTTACCTACATAGGAATGATGAATTCTGCATAAAAAACGCAGGGGATATCTCGGTTTCCGTGCTCTCGGTTTCTCAAAATTGTTTTGAATGGTATGGTTATTTGTGAACAACACTCTTAAGGGAAGTTTTATGATTGATGTGCTAACATGATTGTTTCCTTGCAGGAAAGGGCTTGGCCTAGGACTGCTTGGCTTGGGCGCTGTGACATTCATTGGTGTAAGCATAAGTGTGGGCCTTTTATGCTGTTTTATACCTTGGCGCCAAAACGTTAACTCTGGCACCAACAACGTAAGTATGGGTGTTTTGGTTGCTTTTTTTACTATATAGCCAATCTTTTGGTGTGGACACTGTGTTATAATATTTAGAGAATGGCTTTTTAAGGCTATGTATCACTGTGAATCGGTCATTAGTCACAGATGGCGAGTATCAATTGGTGCTCTTATTTTGTTTATGCCTTTTTTGGAGTGTAGCTTATTTTGTAAGCCATTGCTCAGGTCGGATAAATTGTGGCTGGGAGGTGTGGCGAGTTGCGGTGTGCAGGAGAGGATTGTGTGGTCTCACTGAGTTGGTTGGTGGTGGTAATGGAGGTGATGTCTGGTGTCCAGTATACAACATCAAGCAGTGCGATGGAAGCTCATTTCATTGCTGATTTAGCTGATAAAGAGTAAAGTGGTGCCGTGTGCTTGGAGACCACAGGAGTGAGTGATTTGGTAGGAGGAAGTAGTCATGGGAAAGACGATAGGAATTACGAGGGATGGTTGTGGGAACATATCAGATGACTGTGGAATGTGTTGTGATCGCCTTTAGGGGATAGCGGAGTTGCATAATTGATGTCTTGTAGTCCCTCGATTGGTGGAATGTCGATGTTACATAGAAGTGGCATCCAGATAAACTTACGCAGGCATGGTGTCGTTGGTCGGGTTAAAACAGGGGATTGCGTAAACCAGTGTGAGTGGCGATTGAAGTCGGAAGGAGTGCAATAGAGGGATATTTCCCGTTGGTAGGGCTACAGATAGATATTGGGGAGTAAGGTGGATGTCTTAGAAGCATGAAGGATGCTTTGTGGTGGGGGTGTTTTTCCAAAACCTTGTTAGTGCATATTTGGTTAGTAGGATCTCGGAAGGCATGATGTTTTAGGATTCGATATTTTCTGTTGCCTTTAGCCTCCTGGATCACGAGTCGTTCTGCCTGCTCAGACAGCTTACGTCTCGCCAATCGAATCAAACGACGTCGCACCACTTTTGCAAAGAGATACATACTAGGCGAGTTGCAGCCGCTTCCCGGATATCGCGTGTTGGTTACCCTCCACTACTTTTTCCGTTCCTCCTGAAATCTCCCCTGTGCAATGTTGATTGTGTCCATTTGCAAGAAGTCGTGATTTTGACGGTTTGTAAGTAAAGCTGTTTTTAAATTTTAAAATCGAGTTAAACTGGAATTTCTCAAATATTTTCTTGATTTCCGTGGACGTGCAGGGTGGGCATTATTGAGAAAAGGTGTAAATTTGGCCAGCTGTGAGTTGTGTGAAAGGAAGCGGTAGAGGTGAAATGGATCATATAAGCAGCGAATTCGGACTGTGTAAGATCCCTCTGTCCGTGATGTTGTTTATGCCTGTGTCGCGAAGACTCGTGGACTGCAGAGTAAAGTGTAGGTGGATTTGCGTCATTCTGCGCGCTGTGAAAGTGTGTCACTCTCTTTATACCTCATGTATTGAGCTTATTTGCACGTCTCGTTATGATATCCTTTCACATCATACTATTGATTTAGCCGATGTGAATGAAATAAGTCGAGCTTATCTCCATGAGGCAGGGCGTGCGACTCGGTTTTGGAGTTGTAGAAGTTTCTCGCAGCGTAAATTGTATAACGTGAAGAGGAGAGGAAAGGTGATGTGGTACCGGTCCGCATCACATGGGTGTGCTCAAGAAGTGAATTTTGGTGCAAAACCACTGATTAGAAGACACAAGTTGCCCAGAGAGTCCCCATTACCACGTCCTTCATGTCTAGCCTTACTCTGAAAAGCGCTTCTCTAGTTTTCGCCTGTTGACTGAGTGATTTTCGTTTTTTAGTATGTTAATTATGCTGCAATGCCAAGCGAATGGACACTTCTTTGGCGGGCTGGCCTCATATTCAATCAGCAAGTGTGCATTTGTTTCACCACTTCAGCTCCACAAGACTGTGCATGCATTGTACCCATTCGGAGAAGCATATATGCAATTATTCATTAGGATTTTTTGGCCTCTTCTAGGTCAAACAACACTTCTTCAATGCGATATGATGTAAATGTTGTGAGAAAAAAGTGTATCCAAGAGATCCAGAAGTACTCAATTGAAAAGTCACTTATTGCATGGAAATGCAAGACTTCACTTCATATCGACGCAAAGTCCACCTCTAGAAATCATCACACTTTGTTCTCCATTTTCTGCTCGCTGGTGATTTTCCTGATGACTTCTACCAGAAATTTAAGTTGCTAAGTACAATAAAGGAATTGCATTCGGAAAATTAAAAAGTTGACAGTTATAGAAGTGAAACGTTTGTTTGGGGGGTATCGTCGTGTCTCTCGAGCAGTACAAAGGCGGTGCGTTAAGCCTGCTCCTATACAGTACTCAAATGGGGCAAATCACCAGAAGCCGTGAGATTGTCAGGATGTACCGGTAGCGTTAGGGGTAAGAATTCCCCGACATGCAAGCAGGTATGATGATCAAAGTTGCTGGTTCCTGACTGGTTTATAAAGCACCAACCATTGTTTTGTGCCACTTGAGGTGTGGAACAATGAGAGGGCTGAAGACGACGCTCAACTCAGCTGATGGGGCTTCAAGTAATCTCAAATGGCAAATGTAAAAAGAGCGGAGCT